TAGCGAATTAGTTGCCAAAGCACCTCTCGATCGACGCTGCACTATCGAAGGCCTTTTCAAAGTCGATGAAGTTGAGATAGAGAGGTGACTGCCATTCCAAGCTCTGTTCAGTGATGATCCGTAATGTGGCGATCTGATCAATACATGACTTGTTTCTCCTGAATCCAGCTTGTTCCGGTCGAAGTTATTCATCCAGGTTGGCATGTTTGATTCTCTCCAGGATGATGCGGCTTGGTATTTTGTTTGGGATAGACAGGAGCATAATTCCGCGCCAGTTCTTGCATTGACTTAAGTCTCCTTTCTTTGGTAGTTTGAATAGGTATCCTTTCTTCCAATCCTCGGGTACTTTGCCTTCTTTCCACACCTTCTCCAGTAGTGGCGTCATCAAGTCCGCTGTTGTCTCTGGGTCCATTTTCAATGCTTCTGCTGGGATTCCATCTGGTCCTGCTGCTTTTCCAGCTTTTAGCATCTTGATTGCCTTCAGGACTTCTGATTTCGTCGGGGGGTTGGTGTTCACTGGTAGCTCTGTCTCCGTTGTTGGTTTTGTTGAAGGTCGATTTAGGAGTCTTTTGAAGTGTTCAGCCCAGTGTTTCCTTTGCTCCACTTCTTTGGTGAGTGACTTTCCACTGTCATACTTCACTGGCTTAATTTGTGACGAATTTTTGCCTGAGAGGTACCTAGTTGTTTGGTAGAGTGTTGCGAGGTCTCCTTTGCCTGCTGCTTGTTCTGCTTCATTGGCCATGGCTTCATAATATTTTCTTTTGTCTTCTCTGGCACTCTTCTTTACTCCTTTGTTCAGTGTATTGTAGCTTGCATTCAAATCCTGTTTTTGTTGCTCGTCGGTGCACTGGATAATCTTTTGTTTCACCATCCCTCTCTCTTCTATCAGTCTCCAAGTGTCCGTAGTGAGCCACTGTTTGTGCTGTCTCTTCTTTCTGCCTAGAACTCTCATGCAGGTTTGACTCCACACTGTTTTCAAGTTGTTCCAGTGCTTTTTGACGTTGACCTCTTCGCTAGTGTTGATTTGTGTCTCGGCTTTGTCCTTTATACTTGCAGTGAAGATGTCCTTTGTGTCCTGGTCCTTCAGTTTTTGAGTGTTGAACTTGGCTTGTGGTCTATCTGCAGCTCCTGTTTCTCTGAAAGCTTTTAATTTGATTTGGATTGTCCCTTGTACGAGGTAGTGGTCTGAGCCAACGTCTGCTCCTCTTCTTACTTTCGTGCCCAGTAGGCTGCGCCTCCAATTCCTTGAGATTGAGATGAAGTCAATTTGGTTTTGGTTCGTCCATCTGGTGACACCCATGTAGCCTTGTGGATATCCTTGTGTTTGTATACACTGCCACCAATCACTAGTTAATTGAAGGCGCAGAAGTCGGCGAAGAGTTCTCCGTTTTCATTCATTTCTCCGAGAGCTTCTCTGCCCATGATGAGTTCCCTTCCTGTGTTGTCTGATCCCAGTTTGGCGTTCATGTCTCCCATTAGTATTTTAATGTCCTCGACTGGAGTATTGTCCATTGTTGCCTGTAGTTGTCTGTAAAACTCTTCTTTCTTCTCGAGGTCTGCGTTGTTTGTGGGTGCATAGCATTGTATAATTGACACTTTCCTTCCTTTGGAGTTGAATCTGGCGGTCATTATCCTGGGCGAGATCGCCTCCCATTGCATCAGGGCCTTCGTTGCTGTTGGTGACATCATGATAACCACGCCCTCGGTGTGCATATCCCCAACACATAAACTTGCTAAATGGTTAGTGGAATTATTACATCCAGTCAAAACACAGTTCTGTAAGTATGTCATAAAAGATATATTTGAACTGGTTAATTGTCTTGATGATCCTAATATTATGAATAAAAATAGGTGATTTTTGATGTAAATTCCTTATTCACTTATGTGACTTTAATCAAAACAAGTGACATTTTGTGTGATAACAATTCGAAGAAGAAGCGGTCAACAGGCCCATCCACTTCACTGCTTCTCTTCAAACTGGGAGTCGATGTAGAACACTGCTGCAGCATCAAATCACTTTTGTCAGCGACGAATCACATGTCTGACATACTGAGATTTTTGTTCAAGGTGTTCAGAAGACTCGGTATTTTGTTGTTGGCTTCTTCACCTAGAAAGACGATATGAGCAATATACTCGAAATCGACAAGACGCTAGCGTGGTGACAGTCAAACTCTGACAAACACTACTGGTAATCATCAATTCAGATGACAACTGTTCATAAACACATACACTAGTTCTCCCACAAAGGCTACATTCCATTTCTTTTTAAGTCGATTTTCGGATTCCGTAGGGCACACCGGTTTACGAGATGAACGATGTTGACGGTTGAGCGAGAAACGCTGTTTACAAAGGCAAGTGTTTATCCTGTAACTGCCAAAGTACCTATGCCAAATGAAGACGTCAAATCAACTGTCGAAAATACGAGATATATTGTTTCGGAGTAGAAACCTAGAGGGATGTTGATTGCTTAGCCAGTCGGGATTGATACATGCAGGACGGAAGATGACATGATAGCCTGCCAAATGACGTGGATGCTTGGCTTCACCGCGTGCCTCTAGCTTGACAGGCCAACCTAAACAATGAAGGCTAGCATCCAATGCTGAATGAAGAATGCTGTGGAGTAATAATAATTTCAGGGGAGCACTCACCGCCACAATGTGCCTTCACATTTCCGATTAACTAGGAGTATTAATCAATTATCTTGAATCGGTTCACTTCGAGAATTGGGTAAGTCTAGGTAGTAGAGATATGGAAATCGTCTCCACTTTCTATGTTTTAGAGTTGTGAAAATCTGCTCGTTTAGATACGGTGGACGAAGAAGTTGAAAGGCGTCTCACAATACTATTGAAGTGATTTCAGTTCAATTCAGTAAGGTGGTGGTGGGTGGTGGTATGTGCTGACAGTTTTGGTCGACATGTTTATGACAAGATTAAAGAATGGCCCCTTGGAGAGTGTGATCATTGAAAGCTAGTTCTTGTGTACATGTCTATGGAGGATACTTTTACCTTGGATAAGAATAAAATCCCTACTGAGGATTTTGTGAAAAGACTTTCAATATGGCTGATGCGCAAATTAATGAACTCTCGATACCCTGCTAGTAGGATAAGGCAAGCTGACAGTATGAAGCGAGGCATTTTCCGGAAAGCGTGATGGCTTAGGCGATACACCGATTTCAGTGCGTTCATTCTTCTTGAATGGAGAGGAAATCTTACCAGTGGTGAGATGTTTCGAGCTAGCCGAATCCGTACAACTGGTGGCATAAGGCGAATAGGAAATTACTCACGTGGGAATGGATATTTCTCTGATGTGCTCTTACAAACTAACGCATTCGAAATGCTTTAGTGCTTGGATTATGTAAATAGTTACATGAATTTATCCTTATGATGATGTCACTCAATTCCTTGCTGCATCTTGAGTGGACCATATGGCTTTAGTAGGACATCTTCATTGAACTCACCTTCTCCCTTACCATATCCAGTGGGTGATGCCTTTGTGTGCTACTGGCAGATGTCTTTAGAGACTCTGGATCTCTTTGGTGACCATCAGCTTGACGTAGTGAGGCAGTCTCAAACCATCGGTTCTTAGCATCCCATGAACCTCAGTCAGCAGTCAGTCACCAGTTGTCAGTCGACACCTGTCAACATGGCTGAATGCAACAATCAGACTTCATGGTTGCTAGACGACAGGTTTTGTTTGACCACCCTGATAACTGATTTCAAACTTAATCCTTTGTCAGCTAAGACTGCTTCTCACGGCGAGTGGGCAATTGGCATGTGTGTCAGGTGTCTTAGCCACGTGAATCGATGAAGCTGAATTTTCCCTCCTTACTTGTAACACTACGCCTAAACCGAATATTGCTCATCATAATATAAGACAACGCAGGTGGTAGAACACAAATGACTATGGTCAAAGACGACTAACTAACCAACCTCCTCATGCCTCCCACTATTGTTGGCCACGATTCACGGCCATTAGAAAAGACTGGGCAGACAGCTACACTGCGCACGCCTCCTTTCATCCACAGCCAGATATTATGTGGTGTACACCAGAGGTGAGAGAAGTTGGCAGATACCACTCAAGCCCCTTGTATCTGTGCTGAGATTTCGTCAGCAAATCAGTCGTTCCATTCAAACTGATACAACTCCCCGAATAGGTGAAGTGGTCAACACGCCCATCCACTTCACTGCTTCTCTTCAAACTGGGAGTCGATGTAGAACACTGCTGCAGCATCAAATCACTTTTGTCAGCGACGAATCACATGTCTGACATACTGAGATTTTTGTTCAAGGTGTTCAGAAGACTCGGTATTTTGTTGTTGGCTTCTTCACCTAGAAAGACGATATGAGCAATATACTCGAAATCGACAAGACGCTAGCGTGGTGACAGTCAAACTCTGACAAACACTACTGGTAATCATCAATTCAGATGACAACTGTTCATAAACACATACACTAGTTCTCCCACAAAGGCTACATTCCATTTCTTTTTAAGTCGATTTTCGGATTCCGTAGGGCACACCGGTTTACGAGATGAACGATGTTGACGGTTGAGCGAGAAACGCTGTTTACAAAGGCAAGTGTTTATCCTGTAACAGCCAAAGTACCTATGCCAAATGAAGACGTCAAATCAACTGTCGAAAATACGAGATATATTGTTTCGGAGTAGAAACCTAGAGGGATGTTGATTGCTTAGCCAGTCGGGATTGATACATGCAGGACGGAAGATGACATGATAGCCTGCCAAATGACGTGGATGCTTGGCTTCACCGCGTGCCTCTAGCTTGACAGGCCAACCTAAACAATGAAGGCTAGCATCCAATGCTGAATGAAGAATGCTGTGGAGTAATAATAATTTCAGGGGAGCACTCACCGCCACAATGTGCCTTCACATTTCCGATTAACTAGGAGTATTAATCAATTATCTTGAATCGGTTCACTTCGAGAATTGGGTAAGTCTAGGTAGTAGAGATATGGAAATCGTCTCCACTTTCTATGTTTTAGAGTTGTGAAAATCTGCTCGTTTAGATACGGTGGACGAAGAAGTTGAAAGGCGTCTCACAATACTATTGAAGTGATTTCAGTTCAATTCAGTAAGGTGGTGGTGGGTGGTGGTATGTGCTGACAGTTTTGGTCGACATGTTTATGACAAGATTAAAGAATGGCCCCTTGGAGAGTGTGATCATTGAAAGCTAGTTCTTGTGTACATGTCTATGGAGGATACTTTTACCTTGGATAAGAATAAAATCCCTACTGAGGATTTTGTGAAAAGACTTTCAATATGGCTGATGCGCAAATTAATGAACTCTCGATACCCTGCTAGTAGGATAAGGCAAGCTGACAGTATGAAGCGAGGCATTTTCCGGAAAGCGTGATGGCTTAGGCGATACACCGATTTCAGTGCGTTCATTCTTCTTGAATGGAGAGGAAATCTTACCAGTGGTGAGATGTTTCGAGCTAGCCGAATCCGTACAACTGGTGGCATAAGGCGAATAGGAAATTACTCACGTGGGAATGGATATTTCTCTGATGTGCTCTTACAAACTAACGCATTCGAAATGCTTTAGTGCTTGGATTATGTAAATAGTTACATGAATTTATCCTTATGATGATGTCACTCAATTCCTTGCTGCATCTTGAGTGGACCATATGGCTTTAGTAGGACATCTTCATTGAACTCACCTTCTCCCTTACCATATCCAGTGGGTGATGCCTTTGTGTGCTACTGGCAGATGTCTTTAGAGACTCTGGATCTCTTTGGTGACCATCAGCTTGACGTAGTGAGGCAGTCTCAAACCATCGGTTCTTAGCATCCCATGAACCTCAGTCAGCAGTCAGTCACCAGTTGTCAGTCGACACCTGTCAACATGGCTGAATGCAACAATCAGACTTCATGGTTGCTAGACGACAGGTTTTGTTTGACCACCCTGATAACTGATTTCAAACTTAATCCTTTGTCAGCTAAGACTGCTTCTCACGGCGAGTGGGCAATTGGCATGTGTGTCAGGTGTCTTAGCCACGTGAATCGATGAAGCTGAATTTTCCCTCCTTACTTGTAACACTACGCCTAAACCGAATATTGCTCATCATAATATAAGACAACGCAGGTGGTAGAACACAAATGACTATGGTCAAAGACGACTAACTAACCAACCTCCTCATGCCTCCCACTATTGTTGGCCACGATTCACGGCCATTAGAAAAGACTGGGCAGACAGCTACACTGCGCACGCCTCCTTTCATCCACAGCCAGATATTATGTGGTGTACACCAGAGGTGAGAGAAGTTGGCAGATACCACTCAAGCCCCTTGTATCTGTGCTGAGATTTCGTCAGCAAATCAGTCGTTCCATTCAAACTGATACAACTCCCCGAATAGGTGAAGTGGTCAACACGCCCATCCACTTCACTGCTTCTCTTCAAACTGGGAGTCGATGTAGAACACTGCTGCAGCATCAAATCACTTTTGTCAGCGACGAATCACATGTCTGACATACTGAGATTTTTGTTCAAGGTGTTCAGAAGACTCGGTATTTTGTTGTTGGCTTCTTCACCTAGAAAGACGATATGAGCAATATACTCGAAATCGACAAGACGCTAGCGTGGTGACAGTCAAACTCTGACAAACACTACTGGTAATCATCAATTCAGATGACAACTGTTCATAAACACATACACTAGTTCTCCCACAAAGGCTACATTCCATTTCTTTTTAAGTCGATTTTCGGATTCCGTAGGGCACACCGGTTTACGAGATGAACGATGTTGACGGTTGAGCGAGAAACGCTGTTTACAAAGGCAAGTGTTTATCCTGTAACAGCCAAAGTACCTATGCCAAATGAAGACGTCAAATCAACTGTCGAAAATACGAGATATATTGTTTCGGAGTAGAAACCTAGAGGGATGTTGATTGCTTAGCCAGTCGGGATTGATACATGCAGGACGGAAGATGACATGATAGCCTGCCAAATGACGTGGATGCTTGGCTTCACCGCGTGCCTCTAGCTTGACAGGCCAACCTAAACAATGAAGGCTAGCATCCAATGCTGAATGAAGAATGCTGTGGAGTAATAATAATTTCAGGGGAGCACTCACCGCCACAATGTGCCTTCACATTTCCGATTAACTAGGAGTATTAATCAATTATCTTGAATCGGTTCACTTCGAGAATTGGGTAAGTCTAGGTAGTAGAGATATGGAAATCGTCTCCACTTTCTATGTTTTAGAGTTGTGAAAATCTGCTCGTTTAGATACGGTGGACGAAGAAGTTGAAAGGCGTCTCACAATACTATTGAAGTGATTTCAGTTCAATTCAGTAAGGTGGTGGTGGGTGGTGGTATGTGCTGACAGTTTTGGTCGACATGTTTATGACAAGATTAAAGAATGGCCCCTTGGAGAGTGTGATCATTGAAAGCTAGTTCTTGTGTACATGTCTATGGAGGATACTTTTACCTTGGATAAGAATAAAATCCCTACTGAGGATTTTGTGAAAAGACTTTCAATATGGCTGATGCGCAAATTAATGAACTCTCGATACCCTGCTAGTAGGATAAGGCAAGCTGACAGTATGAAGCGAGGCATTTTCCGGAAAGCGTGATGGCTTAGGCGATACACCGATTTCAGTGCGTTCATTCTTCTTGAATGGAGAGGAAATCTTACCAGTGGTGAGATGTTTCGAGCTAGCCGAATCCGTACAACTGGTGGCATAAGGCGAATAGGAAATTACTCACGTGGGAATGGATATTTCTCTGATGTGCTCTTACAAACTAACGCATTCGAAATGCTTTAGTGCTTGGATTATGTAAATAGTTACATGAATTTATCCTTATGATGATGTCACTCAATTCCTTGCTGCATCTTGAGTGGACCATATGGCTTTAGTAGGACATCTTCATTGAACTCACCTTCTCCCTTACCATATCCAGTGGGTGATGCCTTTGTGTGCTACTGGCAGATGTCTTTAGAGACTCTGGATCTCTTTGGTGACCATCAGCTTGACGTAGTGAGGCAGTCTCAAACCATCGGTTCTTAGCATCCCATGAACCTCAGTCAGCAGTCAGTCACCAGTTGTCAGTCGACACCTGTCAACATGGCTGAATGCAACAATCAGACTTCATGGTTGCTAGATGACAGGTTTTGTTTGACCACCCTGATAACTGATTTCAAACTTAATCCTTTGTCAGCTAAGACTGCTTCTCACGGCGAGTGGGCAATTGGCATGTGTGTCAGGTGTCTTAGCCACGTGAATCGATGAAGCTGAATTTTCCCTCCTTACTTGTAACACTACGCCTAAACCGAATATTGCTCATCATAATATAAGACAACGCAGGTGGTAGAACACAAATGACTATGGTCAAAGACGACTAACTAACCAACCTCCTCATGCCTCCCACTATTGTTGGCCACGATTCACGGCCATTAGAAAAGACTGGGCAGACAGCTACACTGCGCACGCCTCCTTTCATCCACAGCCAGATATTATGTGGTGTACACCAGAGGTGAGAGAAGTTGGCAGATACCACTCAAGCCCCTTGTATCTGTGCTGAGATTTCGTCAGCAAATCAGTCGTTCCATTCAAACTGATACAACTCCCCGAATAGGTGAAGTGGTCAACACGCCCATCCACTTCACTGCTTCTCTTCAAACTGGGAGTCGATGTAGAACACTGCTGCAGCATCAAATCACTTTTGTCAGCGACGAATCACATGTCTGACATACTGAGATTTTTGTTCAAGGTGTTCAGAAGACTCGGTATTTTGTTGTTGGCTTCTTCACCTAGAAAGACGATATGAGCAATATACTCGAAATCGACAAGACGCTAGCGTGGTGACAGTCAAACTCTGACAAACACTACTGGTAATCATCAATTCAGATGACAACTGTTCATAAACACATACACTAGTTCTCCCACAAAGGCTACATTCCATTTCTTTTTAAGTCGATTTTCGGATTCCGTAGGGCACACCGGTTTACGAGATGAACGATGTTGACGGTTGAGCGAGAAACGCTGTTTACAAAGGCAAGTGTTTATCCTGTAACAGCCAAAGTACCTATGCCAAATGAAGACGTCAAATCAACTGTCGAAAATACGAGATATATTGTTTCGGAGTAGAAACCTAGAGGGATGTTGATTGCTTAGCCAGTCGGGATTGATACATGCAGGACGGAAGATGACATGATAGCCTGCCAAATGACGTGGATGCTTGGCTTCACCGCGTGCCTCTAGCTTGACAGGCCAACCTAAACAATGAAGGCTAGCATCCAATGCTGAATGAAGAATGCTGTGGAGTAATAATAATTTCAGGGGAGCACTCACCGCCACAATGTGCCTTCACATTTCCGATTAACTAGGAGTATTAATCAATTATCTTGAATCGGTTCACTTCGAGAATTGGGTAAGTCTAGGTAGTAGAGATATGGAAATCGTCTCCACTTTCTATGTTTTAGAGTTGTGAAAATCTGCTCGTTTAGATACGGTGGACGAAGAAGTTGAAAGGCGTCTCACAATACTATTGAAGTGATTTCAGTTCAATTCAGTAAGGTGGTGGTGGGTGGTGGTATGTGCTGACAGTTTTGGTCGACATGTTTATGACAAGATTAAAGAATGGCCCCTTGGAGAGTGTGATCATTGAAAGCTAGTTCTTGTGTACATGTCTATGGAGGATACTTTTACCTTGGATAAGAATAAAATCCCTACTGAGGATTTTGTGAAAAGACTTTCAATATGGCTGATGCGCAAATTAATGAACTCTCGATACCCTGCTAGTAGGATAAGGCAAGCTGACAGTATGAAGCGAGGCATTTTCCGGAAAGCGTGATGGCTTAGGCGATACACCGATTTCAGTGCGTTCATTCTTCTTGAATGGAGAGGAAATCTTACCAGTGGTGAGATGTTTCGAGCTAGCCGAATCCGTACAACTGGTGGCATAAGGCGAATAGGAAATTACTCACGTGGGAATGGATATTTCTCTGATGTGCTCTTACAAACTAACGCATTCGAAATGCTTTAGTGCTTGGATTATGTAAATAGTTACATGAATTTATCCTTATGATGATGTCACTCAATTCCTTGCTGCATCTTGAGTGGACCATATGGCTTTAGTAGGACATCTTCATTGAACTCACCTTCTCCCTTACCATATCCAGTGGGTGATGCCTTTGTGTGCTA